CCCCATGTTTCCCTCCCAGCACCTCAACCCAAGTTAGATACTTGTGTTTACAGTCTGTTCAGCCAACGACCCTGGTTATGGAAGCGTCCGTTTTGTATGTTTGTTGTTTTCTTTTCTTTTTGACGGAGTCTCGCTCTGTGGCTCAGGCTGGAGTGCAGTGGTGTGATCTCCGGTCGCTGCAAACTCTGCCACCCGGGTTCAAGCTATTCTCCTGCCTCAGCCTCCTGAGTAACCGGAAACAGAGGTACCCACCACCACGCCCAGCTAATTTTTATATTTTTAGTAGAGGCAGGGTTTCACCACATTGGCCAGGCTAACCTCAAACTCCTGACCTCAAATGATCCACCCACTTTGCCCTCCCAAAGTGCTGGAATTACAGCTATGAGCCACCGCGCCCGGCTCATTTTTCTTGTTCATTTTATTGTCTTGCTCTTTCCTCTCTTTATGTAGTTTTCTTTTTTACTTTTCTCGTATCTCCCTGAACCAGATTGAAGCACTGAATGAATAAATGATACTCTGAACCACATCTCCTCTAATGGCTATACATGTAGGTCATAGCTCTTTCAAAATTAAAAAGCAAGGGCTGCATGCAGGGGCTCATGCCTGTAATCCCAGCACTTTGAGAGGCTGAGGCAGGTGGATCGCCCGAGGTTGGAAGTTCAAGACCAGCCTGGCTAGCATGGTGAAACCCCATCTCTAGTAAAAAAATACAAAAATTAGCCGGGTGTGGTGGCAGGCGCCTGTAATCACAGCTACACAGAAGCGGAGGCAGGAGAATTGCTTGAACCTGGGAGGTAAAGGTTGCAGTGAGCCAAGATCACACCACTGCACTCCAGCCTGGGCAACAGAGTGAGACTCCATCTAAAAAAAAAAAAAAAGCAAAAGGCACATGATAAGAGTACAGGCAAAGAAGACCCAAAATATTCACCCGCTTCAGTGGGGAAACAGCTACGCCACTCCCCAAGGAGGTGTACTGAAGCAAGCCTATGCAGAAAGCGTCCTGGCGTGAGGTAGAAATTGTATACAGAAGGCAAAAAGAAGTGGAGTTTTTTGTGCTGTAAGAGAGGGATAGGTTTCCTCTGGGGGAACAGCTCTAGCTGCCTACTCTCTCAGATTTTGATGTGGTGTTCAATCCGGCAGGCCCTAGTCACACAAAACTGAAGTTTAATTGAATTAAACACAATTAAAAATTCAGTTACAGGCACAGTGACTCACACTGTAATCCCAGCCCTTTGGGAGGCCCAGGTGGGCGGATCACCTGAGGTCAGGAGTTTGAGACCAGCCTGGCCAATGTGGTGAAACCCTGTTTCTACTAAAAATACAAAAATTGCCTGGGTATGGTGGCAGGCACCTGTCATCCCAGCTACTCGGGAGGCTGAGATGGGAGAATCACTGGAACCGGGGAGGTGGAGGTTGCAGTGAGCCGAGATCGTGCCATTACACTCCAGCCTGGGAGACAAGAGTGAGACTTTGTGTCAAAAAAAAAAAAGAAAAACACAAAATTAGTTGGGCATGGTGGCATGCACCTGTAATCCCAGCTACTAGGGGGCTGAGGTGGGAAAATCACTTGAGCCCAAGCGGTGGAGGCTGCAGTGAGCAGAGATCATGCCACTGCACTCTTGCCTGGGCACTCCAACCCAGAGCAAGACTCCGTCTCAGAAAAAAAGAGTTAAAAAAATTTTTTTTTAATTTGCGCACAGAACTTTGGGAGGCTGAAGCAGGCAGATTGCTTGAGCCTAGGAGTTCAAGACCAGCCTGGGCAACATGGCAAAACCCTGTCTCTACAAAGAATTAGCTGGGCATGGTAGCTACTTGGAAGACGAAGGTAGGAGAATCACCTGACCTTGGGAGGTCGAAGCTGCAGTGAGCCAAGATTGTGCCACTACATTCCAGCCTGGGAGATAGAATTAGACCCTATCTCACACACACACACAAAATAAAGAAATAGAAAAAAAAGTCAGTTTATCAGTAACAGTAGCCACATTTCAGAGCTCTATAGCCACATGTGGCTAGTGGCTACTGCACTGAACATTTCCATCATCATACAAAGTTCTATTTGGACAGCTGGATAAAGAATGTTAAGGGTATCTGGAGGAGATGCCATGTTCTGGCCGTTCCAGGATCAGATCTCGAAGAGGCCTTGAGTATAAGGCCTGAGTATACGGTTATCCATCCTTTTGAAGCCATCCGTCTTCTCATTTTGGGTACCAGTAGCCCAACTGTGCATGCAAAGAGCCAGGCTCAGGCACTCCACGGTCTCTCCATCCCTTTTGTCCTGCTATCTGGGCTGTTCTTGTCCTTGCTTCACTCCCCTAGTCCCTGGAAAACAAGCTGCAGAAAAAACTTTTCCATCAACTTTGACCTAGTTTCTTGGTCCCACATTTGAAGGGGAGGAGCCGCTAAATTCTTGAACAGGTGAGAAAAGGGCGGAGAGTTCAGGTGAAAGTCACCCTGGCAATAGGGAGAACCAGAGACTGACACTTCGGTAATGAAAGAGAGGCAAAGAGAGGGAAGAGAGTGCTCAGAAAAATGAAAGATAAACAGACAATGAACATTGAAATAGAAAAGGATCTTTTTTAATTTTCCGAGACGGAGTCTCGCTCTGTCACCAGGCTGGAGTGCAGTGGTGCGATCTCAGCTCACTGCAGCCTCTGCCTCCCAGGTTCAAGCGATTCTCCTGCCTCAGCTTCCTGAGTAGCTGGGATTACAGGTGCCTGCCACCACGCCTGGCTAATTTTTTTTGTATTTTTAGTAGAGATGGGGTTTCACCATGTTGGCTAGGCTAGTCTCCATCTCCTGACCTTAGGTGATCTGCCCACCTCAGCCTCCCGAAGTCTTGGGATTACAGGCGTGAGCCAGTGTGCCAGGCTGGAAAAGGATCTTTTAAATCTCACTTTCTGTTAAATTCACGTTGATTTTAGTTCATTTATTTATTTAGTTTTGAGGCAAAGTCTCTCCCCCAAGCTGGAGTGGAAGTGGTGCAGTCATAGCTCAATGTAATTTAGAACTCCTGGGCTTGAATAATCCTCTTGCCTCAGCCTCCTGAGTAGCTAGGACTACAACATCTCACACGGATTTCACGTAGAATTTCCAGGAGCCCATTTGAAATTAGTTTGTCCTTAGAAAGGCCAATTCCCGCCGGGCGCGGTGGCTCACGCCTATAATCCCAGCACTTTGGGAGGCCGAGGCGGTGGATCACGAGGTCAAGAGATCGAGACCATCCTGGTCAACATAGTGAAACCCTGTCTCTACTAAAAATACAAAAAATTAGCTGGGCATGGTGGCTCGTGCCTGTAATCCCAGCTACTCAGGAGGCTGAGGCAGGAGAATTGCCTGAACCCAGGAGGTGGAGGTTGCAGTGAGCCGAGATCACGCCATTGCACTCTAGCCTGGGTAACAAGAGCGAAACTCCGTCTTAAAAAAGAAAAAGAAAGGCCAATTCCCAAATAAGGGCCAGGACCAGATCTGTGCAAAGATTTAAATTAGCCATCCCAGGGTTTCTCACCTGTCAGTCCTTTAGGAATGAAAATCATGGCCCAGTGTGATGACTCACACCTGTAATCCCAGCACTTTAAAAGCCCGTCTCTACTAAAAATACTAAAATTAGGTGGGTGTGGTGGCTCATGCCTGTAATCCCAGCTACTCGAGAGGCTAAGGTAGGAGAATTGCTTGAATCCAGGAGGTGGAGGTTGCAGTGAGCTGAGATCAGGCCACTGCACTCCAGCCTGGGAGACAGAGTGAGACTCCATCCCCCAAAAAAAGGAATGAAAATCACACCAATTAAAGGTGGGATCTCTACTACTATTACCCTACAAGGAATAGGAGCCACCAAAGCATCTAAGGGATGAGGGTGGGAAATAGTTAGCAACCATTTACTGAGTTATGTGCTTGCATAGAAACTGTGAAAATAAAAAAATGATTAGCCGCCTCCAAAGAATTCAATACTCCTAACTCTGTAACCTCGTAAGTCCTGAATAGTTATACTTGTTAGTACATAAATCGGGTTTACACTGGGAAGAAACCTCATGATAAAACCAAATTATAAAAAAGGGATCTTCAGCGGGGTGCAGTGTCTCAAGCCTATATTCCCAACACTTTGGGAGGTCAGGGCACGCAGATCACTTGAGCCCAGAAGTTTGAGGCCAGCCTAGCTAGACAACATGGCAAAACCCCACCACTGCAAAAAATATAAAAATTAGCTAAGGGTAGTGGTGTGTGTCTGTAGCCCAGCTATGTGGGAGGCCGAGGTGGGAGGATCACTTGAGCCCAGGTCAAGGCTGCCGTGAGCCGAAATCAGGCCACTACACTCCAGCGTGGGTAGGGAAGAACCTCCACCCATTTCTTGCGAATTCCCTCATAATTTCCCTGTATTTCAAGAACTCATGAACTCCAAAACTGAAGGAATTTAGTAATTGTTAGCTATGGATTTGGAAAACTAGTTTAGACAACAAAATCCCAGTATAATTGCTTTAGCGAATCTGAAAGTAACATGCCTCAAACTGTTACCTTCTTCACCCCTCTAGCCCTGACTCTGCCAACATTACTTAGGGTCCATAGGGAGAGTATTTTCTCCACAAGGTTTTCATTAGTATGGCTTTTTTTTTTTTAAGAGACGGGGTCTCACTATGTTGCCCAGGCTGGAGTGCAGTGGCTATTCACAGGCATGATCCCACTACTGATCAGCACAAGAGTTTTGACCTGCTCGGTTTCCGACTTGGGCCGGTTCACCACTCCTTAGGCAACCTCGTCGTCCCCCTCTCCCAGGAGGTCACCATATTGATGCCGAACTTAGTGTAGACGCCCGATCGGCATAGTGCAATCCAGCCCAGAACTCCTGGGCTCAAGCGATCCTCCCACCTCAGCCTCCCGAGTAGCTGGGACTCCAGGCGCGCGGCACTGGGCCTGGCTAGCATGGGTTAAGAGGAAAGCTTCTTTAAGCATACCTTCTTCCCACAAACTTCTCCAAAGCCAGCTCACAAACACCATTTTTTTTTTTTTTGCCATTAAAAAAACTTTATTTTGATTTTTTACAAAGAATACCCCCAATCTGGAGTAAAAATATATCTGGTTAAGTACAAAATATAGTCTTTACCATACAAAAAGATACATAATACAAAAACATGAAACCACCTTCAGCCCACACTTTCTGGCTGTATGAACTCTCAGAAAAGGGTGGAGCTCAGTGCTCTGACACAGGACAGTGAACAAAAGTGCTATAGCTGAGAGTGACTGACCAAATGCCGGCAGCTGCAGCGAGAGAGGGGCCAGTATCCCTATCTCCTAACACTGGGCAGGAAGGGGTCGGAAGGGCTTTTGTGAAGACCTGCCCTCTGGTTTCTCGTGGCAGTATCTAGAGGTTCTGATCACAGTGCTGGGGCATCTGTTCCTCCTTGGGTCTGGAGAGGTCAGTGGGCAAGGCTGAAAGCAGCAACCCTTTCACATGATTTGAGTGTTAGAATTATATAATCCTGTACATTGGGGCAATCTCAAAAGCAGTTAACCCTTTTTTTTTTTTTTTCCTGTCTTTGGGCTTTTACCCCTGGAGACATAGTAGAACAGTTTCAGCTTACATTTAAGATGGCAGAGGGGGAGAACCAAAAATCTGACAGGAACTAAAGTGCTAAGAATATCACCTTAGAATCAATTCCAAGGACTTGAACGAAGAGAAAAACATCCTCCCGTATGAAAATATTTGCAACAGGAGAACACAGTGCAATAGTTAAAATGGCTTTTAAGGCTTTTGGTGGGACAGTTACTGCTTTAAAAGCCAGGTTAAAAGTGCACTCTAAGCAAAAACGACCGTAGAGCAGCAGCTTCCTTTCAAATCACAGGGAAAGGTCTCTCCAATGTCTGTCAAAACAGCCCTGGAAGGTTTTTCTTTTCTTTTTTTTTTCTACAAGTGTATAACAGGGAACGCTGATTTTAAGAACCTCCATTTCCCAAAAGTTTTGGCCACAATTTCCCTTTTCATCTCCTTAGTTTGCTAAATTGGCTCTTCTCCACATGATACATAAGTTCAAGGTCCTAAGTTGTTATCACAATTAGAAAAAGCCTCCAAAAAACCTTGAAAAGCTTATGCCAGGAGGCCATTTCTACCTGACCCAAAACTACTGAAAAGGCCTCAATTTTCAAGATCTGAGAAAATGGATGGGCCTGAGTTTTTCCAGTTGTTTTTAAACCCATCCAGCAAACACCCCGTCTCACAACGTCGGCGCTGGCTGCGGATGGGTCCGCATCCTTTAAGGCCCAGGAGATTGCCTGCTGATCACCCCCCTATGTTAGGGAGTCAGAGGCTGAGGTGGAGCCACACTCCATTGTGCAGAGACGGTTGAGTCTCTGAAAAAGTGAGAGTCCAGGAAGAGAGGCAGAAAGAAACAAGTAGGTAAAGCTGCTTCTTTTCTTCCACATGCTCACTGCACATTGTTGTTGAGGATACAGGGATCCACCTGAAGGAAGAAACAGACTAGTTTAGTTCAGGTAAGAATTAGAACAACAGCCCAGTTTAGCAATCCTGCTAAGTCAACTTCTTATAGAGGCTTAGGACAAATTTAACAGAAAGGATGACAATTTCTCACCTCAGTATAAGTAGGTGGTGGCATGAACTTGAACTCAGGGGCATACATAAAGATAGGACTGTCTTGAGAGCCATCCACGTCATCTAGCAGAGGGGTGGTGGGGCTCTCCAATCGGTGATCTTCAGGAATGATATCCATATAGCAAGGAGGAGCTAGAAAAAAAAATACGGCCACATTAAGAAGCCTGCCCAAGAAATGCTGGAGCATCACAATTTCACAAACCCAGGTAGACCAGAGGGGAAGACAAGACATTGGGTCTGGCTCACCTTCTGGGGTATCAGGGATGTTCAGGTCTACCCAACTCATCTCAGAGCTGGTTCGGCTGGCCATGCTTGATGTTCTGCTGCTTAGACCTGATCTGCTGCCAATTACCAGGGGCAGGTCAAGGATGACCTTCTTGGATCCAGGAACGCTAACATAGATCTAGAAAGGAAGATGGAAGTTTGTTAGATCAGAGATCTGGAGAAAACAAGACTGTGGTAGCAGAGGAACAATTTCTCTGCAGAAGCCACCCTGTATCTACTCACCAGTAAGGAATATTCAACTCGAAGGATGTTGCAGCCCAGGATAGAAGGCCTGATCTTCTGCACCCGAAGGCTCTTGCCACGCCATGATGCGCATGTCCCTGAGATAATATGATTGCCTCTGACTGAGGACAACTTCTGAGTCAGCACCTTGGTTTGGCCATTGGCAAGGTAAGTGTGGCGGGCCACGATGGCAGCTTTGGGGACCACAATTCGGGAACATGTATTCTCAAAGTCAGCATGGATGGAAATCTCATCACCTAGCAATGAGAAAGATGAAAACTTATTAACTGATACTCAGTTAATGACATTTCCGCTACCCCAGTCCCATGCCCTTGGCCCTAAACCCAGTTCTTGTTAAGATATCTACCATCAGCACTAGTGTTTTACCTTCACAGAATCCTTTTCTGTCAATTCGAGCCGAGACAGACACCCGCCCATCAGGAATAAACATGCAGGAAACTTTCTTTTCCTTTTTAGCAGACACAGGTGCCTATGTAGACGGGGACAAAAGGCGTTTTGAGATGCTTCAATCTAATGCCCAAGACACCGGATTTATCATCCCTGTGACCCAGAAGAATACACTCTCTAAAATGAATCTCACCATTAAATCAGGGGTATTGACATCCACCAGATCCACTACTTCAAAGTTTTTCTTTGTCTCTTGAGTTGGCTGGCTGGGGCGGTCAAGAAAAGCCTTCACCCAGTAGTCTACACACCCATATTTTCCTTTGTAGGATGTTCCCAGAGGCCTGTGTCAAGAAAACGAAGATTTTTAAATGCTCTCCAAGAACAGTCAGGAGGACGAGACAATTTAGACCGAGAAGTTCAAAGATGCATTTAGCTGATACTTACCCCTGAGGAAGCTCAAAGCCGAACTTGTACTCATACTTGTTTCCAGGTCTCATGAGCACCATCTCATTCTCACCTGCAGGGAAAGAAAATCGAGTAACCATTAGGCTTCCTGTTACACTTAAAATGCATCTGTGTGATAAGGAATGACTGGGTGGCATGCAACGTACTGAATGAAGTACCCCCAATTTCATCCTACATATATATATATATATATATATATATATATATGTGTATATATATATTTAAAATCATCCGATATTATTCTTAAAGAGAGAGTCTGGTGTATTTTGTAGGGCAGCAAATTGCCAAGCCCTGCAATGCTTAAAGATTCACCCAGGACGGTTCCTCTTAACATCTCAAACAGAGGTAAGCAAAGAATAAGCAACTTATGTATACATAAGACTTTACCCAAGGCAACGCCCCCAAAATCATCTTTAAAAAACAAGCACCATAAAAAATTATACAAATCACCCATTTTTTGGGAGGTGGGGTGGGGGGAGAATGTCTGCAAATTAAAACAGATAAAAAGGAAGCAACAACACGTAATTCAAACCACGCAAACGGAGCAACTCAAAACATTTCATACGGGTTTACGCTTTCTATTCTCTTACCAGCTTTCACCCTCCAGCAATGAACCGGGCCTCTTACCTGTTGGCTGGTCTTCGGGAAGAAGCGTGTCTTCGTAGCGCAGGTACTCCGAAGTCTGTTTGCACTGCTGGGATCCCTGCATCCAGAGCACTTTGGCCACTCCGCAAGCCAGGATCCTAACGGCTTTGACACGGGTCACCTCGCACACCTCCACTATGACCCGGCCAGCCACCTTCTCACCACTGCCGTACACCTTCTCAGGGTCGTTAAAGACCACCTCAAAAGACTTGATCTTCTTGAACATCACCATGATGGGACAGTTGATTTAAGAGTCAGGAACGAGGGTGGAATAAAAAAAATAAAAAAAAAAGCCCCAAATCGAGGAACCTCCTTTGCAGTAAATTATTTCACTCTTCCTAAGGAATGAAGGTATTCTTAAGCAGTTTGAGCTTAAATTTAAAGTAAGATTCAGACAAATGAATTTTAACTACTAGGTTTTTGAAAAGGCCTCCAAAAATTTCACGCCGCTGGTTACACTAAAGGATTTCAGAGAAAAAGCCTTCTTTTCCCACAATTGCTGGAGAAGAGATCCGATCTCTACAAACACTCCTCTAAAGAAAAAGGGAGCTCAGTTTCAAGCAAGAGCCGGAAACGGCTCTATATAGTAGCCTGGGCCCGCAGAGCCACGCGAGCGCTGGCCCGGAGGCTCGTGCTGCCCTCGTGCACATCCCTCCCATTGGCTGCTCAGTCCCTGTTTACCAGGAGCCCGACCAATCAGTGAGATCACTGAGGCGCGTGGACACGGTGTGCTCCTGGCGGGGTAAATGGTTGTTATGCTCCGTAGCAGCGGGAGGAGGGGGGGAAGGAGAGGGAGGAGGGAAAGGAGGGGGCTGCGGAGCGTCTTCCCCGGAGCCCACTGGAAGGAGGCTCCCACTGACCCTAAAACCTAGCCAGGGCGACGGGCGATCGGAGGGCGGGTGTGGACGTTTCTGGTCTGGGAGCGGTGTTAGGAGGTAAAAGGAATACGTGCTTGAGGGAATTTCATGCCTAGTCTTGGTCAGTGAAATTTCTTTAGAGCCTGCTGTTTATTCCTGACTCATAAATAGCAAGTCTGTGAGAAACAATTCCCGGGTTCCAAGAACACGCTTAGGTTTGGGGCTGTGGAGCGGGTTGGTGTTACTGTCCAGCAACAGCTCTTTTGTCCTTCTCTTGCCCCGCATCCCTGTTAAATATAAAAAACACCACCACCTCTGAAGGAAAGGAGAACTTTCAGGCCTCATTGGACCTGTGGGACTGATGTCCCTTCCAGCCCCTTGGGGGGAGGGCTGGGGCTGCGTGCCTGTGCTGTTCGTCACCCCCTTGTACCCTCTTTCTGTTCTCTCTGTTCTCTGGAACGGAAATAGGACGGGCGTGTTTACATCCTGTTGCTTTATCCCGTCATCTGTTCAATTTCTACCTGCAAAGCTGGGGAACACTTCGTCTGTATTCCCCGTTTACCTCATTACCTCTTTAGTGAGGTGTGCCCAGGCGCTGATTATCTCCCACTCCCTGCTTCTGGAGGAAAAGAAAAAGGGGGGAAAGAAGGATGCTTCACTCTTTTTCACTTTCTTCCAAAGTTATGTTCACTCTTTCTTGTCTCCATCCCTTCTCCCAACTCACTGAATCAAATGTACATCCATAAATCTGGTTAAAAGCAAGAAAGTCCTCTTGTTTATATCCAAATTTTCAGCGGAGAGATGACCACACAAATTGTGTGAAGGAACAATTTTTAGAAATGATTTCCAAGTTGTTTTTTTTCCCTAAATGGCTTAGGAATCAGTAAGAAGGGAAAGAGAAGGAAGATCCATCACTAGAGCACTATAAATTCAAGCCAGAAGGGACCCTACCCTGCATTCTCATTCTTTGTTGGTTTCGTTTGGCTAGCTGTCAGATGGATTTTTCCCTGCTGGCCGTGAGAAGCTTTAGGAGCTGAGTACTGAGAACTTATATTTAAATGTAATAAGAAAAACTTGTATGCAGAGGTTCAGGGATTCTTTCCACTTTTCTTTGGTTCATAGAACCCTTCCCATCTCTGTGCTGGGGTATCAGGATTATTATTTCATTCTTTGTGCTGAAAAGAGGAAGATAATGTCCCAAGATTAAGATGAGGAAGTGACTAAGAAGCATTCAAGTATACTGAAACCCTACAGAATCAGCAAAAAAAGAAATCTATTCATTGCTGTTAAGGAGCCTTCTTCCTTCCTCAGACTAGCTGGATTGACACCCTAAGGCTCACAAGTTACAACTCAACACCAATATTAAGCAAGCTCAAGAATAAGCATCATGAGTCTCTTGGGAAACACGCACACACATGCATGAAACCCCAGGAACATGTTGATTCTTAGGGTGAGTTTGAGGCGGCACCCTGTTCTAGAAAGTTAAGCAACGAGGCTTGAGGTGTTTTCAGTTGGTTAACAATATTGATTGAGTTACTGAGTGCAGAGGAGGTAGGACTCTACCTGAAGTAATTTTAAAAGTTCAAAATTGGCCGGGCACGGTGTCTCATACCTGTAATCTCATCACTTTGGGAGGCCGAGGCGGGTGGATCCCCTGACGTCAAGAGTTCGAAACCAGCCTGACCAACATGGAGAAACCCTGTCTCTACTAAAAATACAAAAATTAGCTGGGCTTGGTGGCACGTGCCTGTAATCTCAGTTACTTGGGAGGCTGAGGCAGGAGAATCACTTGAATCCAGGAGGCAGAGGTTGTGATGAGCTGAGATTGCGCCATTGCACTCCAGCCATGGCAACAAGAGGGAAACTGCATCTCAAAAAAAGGAAAAAAAAAGTTCAAAATTCTGGCTACTGGGAAAATGCTTAGTTTGATGGGTGTGAAAGTATACATAAATATAAAACATCAAAATGCTGACAAAGAAATATATGAATCAATATTGTTCAATCTTAACTACATAAAATTTGAGGGGATAGGAAAGATGGCTAGTCATGGATCAGGGTGGTGGTCACACAGGACATCTTAGAGAAAAGGGAGCATTGATTTTTATTTGGGCACATCTGTAAAGTACTGAATTGTTGAGTTTTTAAAAATCCTATGACAGTTCTCTCATTCTGTTTCCCTCTCGGGCTCTCGTTTCCGCATATCTTCCCATTTTGCCGAGCTCAGTACAGACTACTTTGCTCCGTGCTATGCCAGGTTCCTTTAAATGCCAAAAAGTTATTTAGCTCTGGCAGCAGCTGCTGCCTACCAGGCAGGGAGCCAAAGCGCCTTCTGCAGTGCAGCCCTCCTGGACACAGTTGTTTACAACCTTTCACCTTGTAACCTGGTATTTTGATAAAAATCTGCCCCCTGATTCTCCTTTCCCAGTTCCTGCGTGTAAGAAGAAAGAAGTTTTGTAAACTCTTGTCCTGAAATCAGGGTATAAAAACATGTGAGGTTTGGGAAAAGGGGTGGGCCAAGGAGGAACAGAAAAGTAGGGCACAGTTCAAGAGTTTTGCAAGTTAGATCATCTTTGTCTGCCCCTCCTTTACTGTCTTCAGTCCTAGTGCCAGTAGGAAACCAGGTGGTGATTCTCGTTGTTTGCCTCACTGCAGGTGATAGAATAAAGCCAGCACTTCGTCGCCAGTCAGAGACAAAACACTTTGCATTTCTCTTTTGTTCAACCTGTGGCCTGACAAACATCTAGAACTTGAACACTCCTAGTTCTTAATGCAAAACAAAGCCCTTTCTCGGTCCTTTTCTTCACTGTCACCTTCGGTCTGCAAACTTCCCTTTTACCCTTACCCATTTCCCCCCTTTTTTTTTTTCTCAAGACAGGGTCTCGCTCTGTCATTCAGGTTGGAATGCAGCGGCACTTGGCTCACTGAAACCTCTGCATCCCAGGCTCCAGCGATCCTCCCACCTCAGTCTCCCGAGTAGCTGGGACTACAGGTGCGCTCTACCATGCCTAGGTAATTTTTGTATTTTTAGAAGAAATGGGGTTTTGCCATGTTAGCCAGGCTGGTCTCAAACTCCTGCTCAAACAGCCTGCCTATCTCAGCCTCCCAAGTCATAGATAAATAAGAATCAATTAACAATTGTAGGCCAGGTGTGGTGGCTCATGCCTGTAATCCCAGTACTTTGGGCGGCTGAAATGGGAGGATCACTTGAGGATCACTTGAGACCAGGAATACAAGACCACCCTAGGCATTGTAGTGAGACCCCATCTCTATTAAAAAAAAAAAAATTGGGCCGGGCGCAGTGGCTCACGACTGTAATCCCAGCACATTGGGAGGCCGAGGTGAGCGGATCACCTGAGGTTGGGAGTTTGAGACCAGTCTGACCAACATGGAGAAACCCCGTGTCTACGAACAATACAAAATTAGCCGGGTGTGGTGGCACATGACTGTAATCCCAGCTATTCAGGAGGCTGAGGCCGTAGAACCGCTTGAACCTGGGAGGCCAAGGTTGCGGTGAGCTGAGATTGCGCTATTGCACTCCGGCCTGGGCAACAAGAGCAAAACTCCATCTCAAAAAATAAAAAAATTGTATAGCATGTTAGAGTTCCAAGTGACTTTTGAAGTAATTGCCACTGATTGAGCACCTATAATGAACCAAGTCCTTTATATAATTATGTCAGTGATATTTATAAGGTCATCTCATGTCGGTCTAGAAAGCGTTTGAGGTTAGATTGTTTCATTTAATTCTCACAATAATCTTATGACTCAGTGTTGGTTTGGTCAGGCTCAGAAGTGAAGTAATTTGCCTGAGGCCATGGATTTTGTAAGTAGAGCAAGGTCTTGAACCCGGGTTTGCCTGAAGTATGCACTCTGCTATGTTGTCGTGCCTCTCCGTGCTTTGGCGCACAGTGTCCTGTTTCATTCTTACAACAGTCTTATAAAGGATTTGGGCCAAGACTCAGAGAATGTCAGAGGTAAAGGGGGCTCTAGCAGCCTTTTATTTTTTTAAAAAACTAGTTCTTATTTTGTGTAAGTGGCTTGCCCGGTGACATAAGCTGGTATCTGTGGAGCCACGCTCCACACCCAGGAATCTCTTTATTATCTATTTGTTTATTTTTCTGTTGCTCAGACTGGAGTGCAGTGGCACAACTATAGATCAGGAGCTGAAACTACGAGGTATGCACACCATACCCGGCTAATTTTTTTTTTTTTTTTTTTTTGAGACAGGGTCTTACTCTGTCACCAGGCTGGAGTGCAGTGGCAGGATCATGTCTCACTGTAGCCTCAAGCTCCCAGGCTGAGGTGATCCTTCCACCTTGGCCTCCTGAGTAGCTGGGACTACAGGCACATGCCGGGCTAATTTTTTAATATTTTGTTAGAGATGGAGTCTTGCCATGTTGCTGAGGCTGGTCTGGAACTCCTGGGCTCAAGTGATTCACCCACCTTAGCCTCTCAAAGTGCTGGGATTATAGACATGAGCCAGCAAACCCATGGTTTTTTAATTTAGTTTTAACTTTTAAAAATATCTCAGCTGGAAGTCCACATTTTGTGTTTACGAGATCCATTTTTCTACCATGATAAGCAAAGGATAGAGATCTCAATATTGCCCAAGTTCATGGCAAGATGGGAGAGGGGCTGAATTAACTTTGTTCAGAGGTGTTGCAGGCTCATTTAAGATAGTTTTGTTTCTTTTTTTCTTTTCTGAAGGCCCTTACAGTAACTTCCTAAACATAGTTCTTTTTGTTTGTTTTTTAAGGCTGAGTCTCCCTCTGTCACCCATTCTGGAGAGCAGTGGCACAATTTCGGCTTGGCTCACTGCAACCTCCACCTCCCAGGTTCAGACGATTCTCCCATCTCAGCCTCTCAAGGAGCTGGTATTACAGGTGCT